TATTGACACGTATACACACACACATGCACACACACAAACACACGCACACGTGCGCGCGCACACACACGCGCACACAGGTCATTGTTGTTAGCTTGACAGCAAGAAACAAGGTGGAGGACACTGTGTTTGGAAACAGCAGTGCGATGTTGCTGCTTAGCCACAGTGACATGGCTACTACTTTCGTAACACTGTTTGTTCGGTTTGCCACTTAATACAAACTGTTTGCCGTTCAAATCTCAATATAAACTGTTCGCTACTCAATTCAAAACCAGCACTGGTTTCCACAGCATGCCCTCCATACAAAGCACATGGGATGACGTCATGCACTCCATACAAAAACACATGTGATGACATCACTCACGTAACCTGTAGATAACCAGCACCAGCAGCAGAGCGTACGGGTATCAGCAAAACAGAACAGGAACGTACGACTAAAATTGATTGTCCTTGACAAATTGCTTGACAGAGTCTACTTGCTGCTCTTTTCTCTCCGAAACTCAACACTTGCAAGCCAGATATGAAAGAAAGAAAAAATCATCAGTCACACCACCGGGACTCGAACCAGGGACCTTGCTATTCGCGAGCAATGCTCTAACCAACTGAGCAAGGTCCCTGGTTCGAGTCCCGGTGGTGTGACTGATGATTTTTTCTTTCTTTCATATCTGGCTTGCAAGTGTTGAGTTTCGGAGAGAAAAGAGCAGTAGGTGGCATGTGGCCTCTAGTTTCCTTAAAACTTTGAAATTTTCCGTGAAGTCCAAATTTGAAATTGCAATTTGTATTTGCTCGCAGTGGACATAGTTTGATGCGCTCCCCATGATATCAAGCGAATGGCCGAGGGCCCTCTTGATTGGTGTGAGTTGCCAGCATGATGCAAGCCAGATATGAATTGATCGAAGAAGGATAGATTTACCATCACTGTGGATAAGAGTCATACTGTAGCTCAGTTGGTTAGAGCATTGCTCGCGAATAGCAAGGTCCCTGGTTCGAGTCCCGGTGGTGTGACTGATGATTTTTTCTTTCTTTCATATCTGGCTTGCAAGTGTTGAGTTTCGGAGAGAAAAGAGCAGTAGGTGGCATGTGGCCTCTAGTTTCCTTAAAACCTTGAAATTCTCCGTGAAGTCCAAATTTGAAAGAGTCTACTTGGGCGTCAGAAATACGTCCATTGCTCTGCAGTACAGCCAACACCTCGGCAACAGTGAAGAATAACTGTGCATGCGTACGCCAGTGTCCAGTAGCTTTTGTCGGCCACCCTGCTGTCGGTCCAACAGAACTGCGGCGTCAGCTTTTGCTAAGCTGCGGTGATCAGCTGAAGTGAAGGGTGCGCTAACTCACACCAGCGTGTGTTGAGTCTTGATCCGGGATTGAAACTGGTGACGACTTGGTGACTTTTCGCCGTCACTGCTCATCCGCAGTTTTCTGCTTGCAATGTTACAAAGTAGAGTCAGGGCTCTGTGTGATGTTCACAAGTGCGCTGTCGAGTCTGAGAAAAGGGAAGAGAGAATACAAATCATTTACCAGTTAAATCGTGTTTCGAACCAAATGTTCCACGGATCATGTCAGTGGTGTAGGAATCGGGGCGGGGGCAAGGGGGGCACCAGCCGCTCCCCCCCCCCCCCTTACCTTTTGGCGGATGGTGGGCCAAAGGCCGTAAAGTAGGGTTCGGCGGATTCTGCCGGCAGAAAAATTGGCAGAATTCGGTACTTTTTCTGGTATGTTTCATGCATGTTTGATGAACGCGCAAGTGAGGATCATGCATGCAGTGCAGAACAGTCAGTGGTCATGCAGTCAGATCAATTGTAGTCAGGGCTGACCCAGCAGTCATTCATGTACATGTATGTAAATAATCATTTCTCTCTCCACCCTGCACTCCACTCGTTTTGCACACATCCGCACATTCACTCATACGTTTACACCACTATTGAACACGTCCATATTGCCAGTGGGGGCCACCACAGCACATCGCCCCAACTTATCGTCTTTGCACACAGTTCCGTGGTCATGACTATACAAAACCATTGCTTAGTCCAACAAAAAACTCCCAACACATTAGACCATGATGCATCCACACAACTCTAGAAGAATAAAAGCGATGGTACATAGTCTGAAGTTACATGATGATTACTGGGGTGGGTGGGTGGGCACTCTCACTCAACTCTCCGCACAAAGACAAAAGAGGCCGACCCTGCACTCGTCACCTCCTTTTAACCCACACCGTGCTCCCTCATACCCGTTCCTGGGAGGACAGAGAACACTACTTCTCTGCTAATTCTTATACTGTGACGTCAACCGCAGAGAAGTGACATCACTACAGTCATAAGTCTCCACTTTTTCAGATCTAAAGGAATGTGCGTGTCACCGGCGTGAAGCACACTCACTAGATCATCCCTTGGTTGTTTTTGCATCGTAGCAGCTAATGAAGCGTTGTTTTTCATGGGCAGTTTTCTTCAAAATCGGAAAGGCAAGAGTACTTTCCTTTAGTCGGAGTCAGTGCTTCTCATTGCTATACCACAGCGTTCTGAAGAAAGTCACTTTCCAGAAAAAAATTTCGTGACTGACTGTTTATAAGCACAGTAGTTCTCGGAGAGCGAAGATTGCAAGATACGACCACCAAACTCTTGGGCGCTGGTCATAAATTTCAACATTTTCATTAGAAACTGAGCCCGATCAAGGCTTGCAGCCATAATTCAATTACCTCCTAAATATTTCACCAGGGTCACATTAGTCATTGTGGAAAATCCGTTATCAGTGGAACATACTACATTGCAATACTTCTTATCACTGACAGGAGAAGATTCCTTCAAGAGTCCGAGGTTCTTGTTTGCAATAGCCAAAATCAGGAAAGTCTTGAACATAAGCTTACAAGTATCTCTCTGCCTTTGCCAGCAAGTTTTGCTTTACGGTCGACTCTCTTTCACCATTACAGATGTACCGGTATTTCGCTTTCCGGTAAATTTCCCTTTGGACTTTGGCCAGGCTGTCAGTCAGAGCTACATATCCAGTGGTGGCTGTGTGCAATCCCTGGTGTTCAACATACATATACATCTACATGTACAGCATTTTCATTATTCTTGTCCAGATTCCAGTAGTAGTGCAGTACTCGGTTTTCACGATTGCTCCACACACAGTCATATTATGTACATGTCCAGTGTAGTGCAGCACCTATATCATGATGTGTTGTCACATACTTTTACACAAGCATACAAATCTCCGTACAAGGATTACCGGTACACAGGTACATACGCACAATAGGTACTAGCATAGCCCAACATACATCAAGGTCATTGCCAGCAAGTCAGCCCCCCAAACCAAAACATCTTCATACGCCACTGCATGGATGAGTCGGTCCCCGGCTCCAGGTACTAACCTTCACACTCGTCTCCACTCAACACTGCAGTATACTGATACAGCTACAGGTAATCAACTTTGACAGCGTGTGGAGGAAGAACAACGAGTCTAGAATCTACTCCAGGACATGTACAAGACTAAACTTCATTCCAGGTAGTTAGTTCGATTTGATCCGCTAGCACTGTCCAAAAGACTCGCAGTGTCCGCTCAACTTGTATACGGACAGTCGGACTAATGCCTGAAGTATTGGTGAGCGATGGTCTGCGCAAGGAACGTTAGTTACACTTACAAAGTACGCGTTCAAAGTTTCAAACAGTGGCTGGGCTTCTACTTGGCGATTGTTCAACTGGTTCTAGAAGTCAATGAGCTAGCGTGCAACGAAATGAGTTCCTAACTCTGCGGGGGCCTGCAGACCGACGACTACCAGTACCACTCTTATCAGTTAGACAGGAATCCAAGACAGAAAACTAAAAAAAACTATCTCGGACCAGCTCCAAAGCCAAAGCCAAACTGGCCCAAAGGCTTCACGTCCGTGACAACACTGACTCAACGAAACATGGTGAATCCACCGCCGGGCACCGACAGACTCAGTCCAAGTGGTCCGTGCTGGAGATCAAAAAAAAAAAAAAAAAATTCGCGGGATTCGCGTTGGCATCGCTTGAATATCAAGCGCCCCGGAAAAATACAGTACGTCCGACGTCACCATGGTCACGGTTCCTTCGATGCGCATAGCAACGGTACATGTACATGCGCACTGCACTAAAAATCGCAAAAGAAATCGTTGCGTCCTCTCCACAGAACCAGTTGCCAGTGGCAACACATGCAAGTCGCATAGATCAGATGTACTTGACTTTGATTCTTCTTTTCTTCTTTTCAGTGTTTTCTCTTTCTCATTGATCTCGACAGTGTTGTGGTGCTCGTTACCTAACTGAGACATCTCTTGTGACCGTGGTCAGTGTCACCAGCGGCGCAACGAGGCGGAGCGCCGGGATCGAGCGTGTAAAAACGCTCTGCATTAGCAGCTCTTGTAGTGTAGAATGTTTTCTGCGATGTCGCATCCAAAGTCAACAGAGCCAAGGTGCAAGCGAGCATGAGAGATCTCGTATAGGATGTGAGCTCAAGACGGTAAGCTGCTGAAAAAGTGGAAAGACACGTGTATTTACAAACTCCCTCTCTCTCTCTTCAATGAACACTTCATCCATGGATTGCCGCTATGCATTTCGTGTTGTGGTCACAGATAATCTGGGCAAATGTAAAACTACCAACTGGAGTGTGCTATGGTGTTAGGGACATGTCCCAAAGTGTCATCACATGGCTGTGGAGACTAGTACACACCTGGAGGAATATTTCTACAACAGTGATACGGAGTGATATGGAGTGCAGATGGATGGATAGAAAAGAAAACTGAGATGATGGGAAGTAAGTACATGTCGTGTAAGTTGATTGTGTGGAAGAAATTTGAAACAAGATAAAATAAAAGTTTCACTCAAACATACATGTAACATCCTGATTAGTATTCCGTCTTCATTTTTCCAGTTAGTGGCACTCCACACGCTCCGATTACCTGGTGTATGTGTGTGTGTGTGTGTGTGTGTGTGTGTGTGTTTGTGTGTATGTGGGCACTCCAGTCTCCCCGGAGGTGTGGGTTCGAATCCCACCGCTACCACCAGTGTTAGCTGCTCCCGGCTAATGAAGTCCCCTCACATCAAAACACAAGAGTTTTATAGTATTGAATTATGCAAGTACAAGAGTGTAGACAAGAAGGAGAACAGGACAACGACAACTCAAGACTAGTGCCAGCTAGTTCGGTTGGTAGGTACACTTATGCCTGATTGTGTTGGGTCTGTTGCCAATGGGCTCCGTTGCTTGAAGGTGTAATGTTGTACCTGCCACCTTTGTTGGTTCCAGGGTTCATATACATTCTCTTTGAAGTATACATACCTGTTAACCATGGACTGCTTCTGGCTAGATTAACTCTTGTGTAATCAATGGTGCTAGTGAAGCTTATATCAGATCCACTCTGATTTAGCCACCCACACTAGTAGCAAGTATTACCTTCACTGGGGGTAGGGGTAACTGCAGTTGGATCCCGGGACGGATACCCTGATTCCGTCAATCCTTTTTCTGCAACTTGTCCTCGCCCACTTACTGAGGTGTGGTGAGCCCATAAGTGGGATCATTTTCAAGTCCACCCAGAGTTTTGGGGATTTCAGGGGATTTCAGCCATTGGGCGGTTCAATAGCCAATAGAGTCATCTTTCCAAGATTCCTTTTGAGTCTCTCTCCCCTCTCCCGGGGAGACCCACGTGACCCAGTTTTGGCAGTGAGCAACAAGTACAAGTGTGTGTGTGTGTGTGTGTGTGTGTGTGTGTTTGTGTATGTGTGTGTGTGTGTGGGTGCTTGCGTCCATAGCCCTTCCAAAGACCCTTGGAGTGCCTGAGGACATTGGTCACATCGTACGGGAGCGGCGTTTGCGCTGGCTTGGACACGTGACACGGATGGAAGATGACCGGTTGCCCAAGTGTGTTCTCTTCGGTGAACTGCCTGCCCCGCGTCCCGCGCATGGTCCAGGCAAGAGGTGGAGGGACGTCATTATGGATGACGGTTTGTCGGTTGAGCCACCGGTACCAACATGTGGATGGTACGGTGCAGCCCAGAACAGTCCGGAGTGGCGTAAGATTGCCCGTCGACCACCCAAGGCACCCTTCTGCTGCTGGCTACGGTTGCGCCTGCGGCCGCATGTTCCGTCGAAGCGGCCACCTGAAACACCATCAGTCGTTCTGTTGTGGACTGGAGAAATAACTATGCGCTATCATTGCTACGCAATGGGCAAAGTCAAGGTGTGTGTGTGTACAGCATATGTGTGTGTGTGTGTATGTGTGTGTGTGTGTACAGTATGTGTGTGTGTATGTGTGAGTGTGTGTGTGTACAGTATGTGTGTGTGTGTGTGTATTGTGTGCCACGAACCTTTCTGCCGGTTGCTGGCATATTAGTCCTTTCTCTATCATTGCCTCTGGCAATGGGCAAGTTCAAGGTTCAAGGATGTGTGTGTGTGTGTAGTCATGCATACACTCTCGTGTGTGGTTGAGTTGGCCAGACAAAGTGACCGTGCATGGGCACGAGGTTTCCGTCATGTCGATGGTATTGGAATTACGTACCGTCTTTTTTGGAGACAACGCCACACTTTGAACACTCAAAATTCACCCAAAAGAATGGCTTATGTTCCAATGTTTAGGAATGGGTTTGCTCCCACACTGGAGTTCCCGCTATTCCGTCGACGACTTGACACTTGACTGACTCACGACTGCCATCCAGAGAATGGACTTCTCGTGTTCTCTGGATGGCAGTCGTGAGTCAGTCAAGTGTCAAGTCGTCGGCGAAATAGCGCGAGCTCCAGTGTGGGAGCAAACCCATTCCTAAACAAAATCATCGCCGAAGTCACAACCTCTATTTTATATTCCAATGACCAAAATAACAGTGATCGTCAAATAGATGTCTGTATTTCGTGGCGAAAAAATGTGGGGGGGGGGAGGGGGAGGGGGTGCGGCTTATGCTCCGGAAAATACGGTACTGCATGACTTGTATTCTAAAATATAAATTTCTCTTAGCCTTGTTAGTGGAATTTGTGTCATTGCTCAGCGGGTATGGGTTGCGACGCCTTGTTGGTTATTGTGTAGGAACAACAAGTTACGCTATAATGTCCACTAACACCACCAGTTACTTGACAATCAGCTCATGCATGTTGAATCTTTAGAGCCAGACAAGTTGTGTGCTATGTTGCTATGCGTCCTTGAATCTTGGTTTGACCGTACTGTCCAATGGTCTTGCCAGTATCGTCATGGACATGCATGTACATCGGCCTTCACAGCTAAGACTTTCAGCTTGTGCTTGTCTTGGTTGTGCTCACCTTCCCCTCCTATGTTATCATATAACTAAGAACATTCCAAGTTGGAATGCTGTTGGAGTGCGCATCCAAGACTTGCTAGAGCTAGAGGTGATAGCCAGTTAGTTGTAGAAGGTCAGTACCGTCGGTCAGTGCCGTGCAATGTTATCGCATAAGTTGATTGTCATGTGACACAGGGGTGTTGGACACGCTACGGTCACAACGCTATTGACCGTATCACTTTTTGCCCCCAGGTACCACCCCGTGAACCAATAAAATAAACTGATTTGGACTCTAAATTTCCAGAATTTCGACTCAGCCACCCCTCCCCCACGAGTAACTTGTACTTCAGATGACTGACCTTACCACACTATAATACCTTCAGACGCCCCTGTAACTGATGGTGTTAGTGGACTTTATTGCGTAACTTGTAGTTCCTTGGTGGTTTTTGTGTTTTCTTGGTTTAGCCGACAGTTTCATTTCTGTGTTCTGTAGTGATTGGCCTGTGGAAACAATGATCCAAGTGGATGTCATTGTGTTCTATGTATGTGCCTTTTGCAACAGGTTCAAGGAAGATGCACGTCATGAAGCATTCGGCCCGTGATCTCAGTGTCTGGTAGCTTATGTAGCCGTGGTTGTATGGGTGATCAAAGATGATACTCTGCATATCAATGTAAGTGTGAAGTATTTGTGCTCTGCCCATACAACACAGCAACAACTACAGAGTTACATAGCCAGTGGCTGGCAATGGTGAAGTTATCATATGAATATGTGTTAGTATTCCTGACCTATTGTAAGCAAGTAAGCTCATCATTACTACAAGACTAATAGTATTACTAGCAGCAGACATGACGTCATTCTCCTGTTTACATACCTCTAATATCTGTATGTACAGCTGCAGCAGCAGTGGGTACCATGGCAACACAGTACACACTTTATCTCCCTCCCATGTTCAGTTTTACTGCTCTGCACACACCATCGTGGTGTGGTTTGCGTGTGTTGTGTGTTTTTGTTCTCAGCATCTTCAGCATAGTACACGTAGTGAATCATGTACCGGGTTACTTTCCATCGCCTGCTGCCTCCGCCGCCGTTTACGTATCATTTTTATTGAGATGACGTGAGTTTACCGTGATCAGTGATTTCCCCGTCACCCCGGCTTGCCTGCTGTCATACTGAAAGCTATCCAATCTATTGAATCTATCCTTTTTGTTCTTGCCTGCAACAGCAATCAACACTCTACCATCTATTTACTGTTGTTTTGTACGTCGCTGCACGTTTGAGCCAGCTATACTGCACTCGTGTGTGTACATGTGTACGGTCTGTCTGAATATCTATAGTCACATGACCAGTGCATGGTTACATCATCAAGAGTGCAGACAGCTACACTGCACTCGTGTGTGTATATGTGTACGGTCTGTCTGAATATCTATAGTCACATGACCAGTGCATGGTTACATCATCAAGAGTACACACAGCTGTACTGTGGGGTGCTGAAGAACGGTTGGGTTAGGTGAAAAACGGACATGCAGGCTGGAATTTCACCCTGGCACAGCATACCAATGTATAGACAGTAACTCAACTGTGCATAAACCATAGTACATGAAAATAGGAATGCTCTAGGCTACTACCAGGCTGACCCCCCAGTTCTTTCTAACCCAACAGTACAGTGTAAGTTTGACATCATCTACATGCAGTAGATATCCGCAAAGTTACATGGTGCAATGTACTATGTGTACTGGGGGTAATAAAATAATGACCTCTCTGGAATGGTGCGCTGTACTAGGGGTAATAATGCCTTCTCTGGAATGGTGCACTCTATTGGGGGTAATACTGCCCTCTCTGGAATGGTGCCCTCTAGTGGGGGTAATAATGCCCTCTCCGTGGAATGGTGCGAGGGGTGCAGTGCAGACCGTGACTGAATGCTTGAGATCAAGGAAATACATTACAGCTGTATCATGTGTGATGAGCTGATGCAGCATGGCCGCGGTGCTGTGTGGACTGAGAGCAATGGAGTTTCCGCGCGTCTCATCACACCAAGACTAGATAAACTCTTCGTCACAGTCATTAGGAGCAGCAGAGTGCCGGCTACAGCTGATCAAGCGTACCACCAGCAAACGTACCACCAGCAATAAATAATGTATTTCATTAAAATGCTGGCATTGGTGTCAACATTGACAAACACGTACATCAGCAATGGACTATCAGAGCAGAAGCAGAAGATCAGTGAACACCATCAGTATAATTATACTGTATATACATATCTATAAGACTATTTTACAGTGTACTCAGCACTTGCTGGTGACAATAACCACATCAACAAAACCAAGAGAAGAATCGTGACGGAGAGCTACGTAGTGTGCAACAGTATGAACAGAAGTATTGTCTGCAACATCAGCAGTTGCACTACCAGTAACATCATGTATTCTTGTGTATATACTTGACTGTGAGGAATTATATCCGTAAATCCTAGAATAACCAGAAAACTGATCATTGAACTGTTTCTTCAGCAGAGTCATGCATGCTACACAATACAATCATTGAAAACAGTACACACACAAATTACATTGTACTCAAGTGAATTCAATACTCAGTGTGATGGGTGCTGCACGCCTACACACATGCACACACGCACGCACGCACACACACACACACCATTCAGTGGAAGTTGTGCAATCATTGACTGTTGGTTGGTAGATCAAACTTGAACATTACGTCAGCTCTGTCCTTGCCTACTCCTTCAGCAACGGCTGGAAGTGATAGAAAGTTTTTAAAGAAGACATTATACATGCATGCACACACACGCACACGCACACGCACACGCACACACATACACACACACACACACACGATGCACAAAAAGATGCATGCACGCACACACGCACGCACACACACACACATGCACATGCACACAAATCGCACAAAAATGTTGGCCTTCTGGAAAGACAGGCAGTTCGTAGGCAGTACGGTCATTCTCGTATACAAATTCAACACACAAAGAAATGACCTGCATATAGAAAATAGAAAAGAAAAAGGACCAAGGAACTACAAGTTACGCTATGATGTCCACTAACACCACCATTAACCCAGGCCCACGCGTAAACACCCAGGTCTCCGGGCATACCTCTGCATATGCACATGCGCAAGCGCATGCACACGCACACACACACACATTAATGTACACAAACATAATTGCAGACACTCCAACGCCCCGTCTGTGCGTACAATGACGTACTCACGCACACACTCACAAGCAATCAGCACATGGGAGTTGGAGTTGCCATGACTTCATTTTGATTACTTCAGCAAAGTGATGATAGACCAGTTCCAAGAAAGCAAACGATAATATTTGCGTCATATCATCACATTCGGTCGTCAGTAATTCGCACTGCCCACCGGGGCAGACGCACGAATGGCCCACCACCACATATTGTATGTGTGTGGTGTGACGCCTCATGCCAGGCAGTTGTGTGAGTTCTTGGCGTCGGTGGTCGTTTGTTTGCCCTCAATGGGCAGTATGAGGTCCGCCCTAGCGGGCAGTATGCTTTTGCCCTTGGCAGGCAGGTTGTCGGCCTCGGTGGCTGTTCGTTTGCTCATTAGGCAGTATGATTGAGCCCTCGGTGGGCAGTATATAATCGGCCCACGGTGGGCAGCATTCTTTGACCCTCGGTTGGTACAACGCTTTATCCTTTGGCGGGAAGTTTGCTGTAGCCCTCGGGGGCAGGCTATTGGCCTTGACGGCCGTTGTGCACCCTCGGTTGGGCGGTATGCTTTAGCCTTCAGTAGGCAGGTTTCTGGCCTCGGCGGCCGTTTGTGCGCACTCGGTTGGGCTATACGCTTATTCTTGCGGTCGGGCTATAATCATGCGCTCTCGGTCGGGCTATAACCATGCGCTCTCGATCGGGCTATAATCATGCGCCCTCGGTTGGGCTATACGCTTCTTCGCGCCCTCAGTTGGGC